CCCCCACCTCCCCCTCCCGCACCTGCCGCAGCAGCGAGTCGTTCTGCCGGCATGCAGGCGCGTCAGCCCACGGCAGCTGGGGGTGTGGGGCAATGGGGGGCAGGGGCCCGGGGGAACGGGGGTGTAGGGATGGACAACCTGTAGCGGGCATCACGTCCCCGGCCACCCAGAGCGTGGCTGGCCCCCGGCGCCAGGACTTGGTGCCCCCCACATGGTTGGGAAGACTCCCAGGGCACAGGGTGCAGCAAGGGGCAGGGAGCACCCAGGCCCCAGACCCCCGCCCCATGTGCTGGGCCGGCGCTCACCGTGCCCTTGAGCGAGTCGATCTCGCAGGTGTAGGACTGGATCTGGTGCCTGAACTCCATCATCTCCTGCTTAGCCTGGCGCAGCGCATCGTTGTTCTTGTTGGCCGCCTGCGTCAGGTCGGACACCTGGGGGGAGGCACCGGCACGCACAGGGTTAATGGGGCCGGTGCTGCCCACCCCATGGCCCAGGGCAGGCGGCATGGTGCCCACTGCGTGCCCGGGCCGGGGAAACGCCCCCCATAGCCAACACAGCCCACCTTGGACTTGTACCACTCCTCGGCCTCGGAGATGTTCTTGGCGGCGATGGTCTCGTACTGGGCACGGATGTCGCGCAGCGCGGCCGTCAGGTCCGGCTTGGACACGTCCATCTCCACCTGGATCTGCTGCTCCTGCATCTGCGCCTGCAGCTCCCGGATTTCCTGCACCCAGGCCGGGGTCAGGGGTGGTGCGGGGATGCAGGGCCCAGCCCAGCCCCTCAGGGGCCGGGGCCGGGGCCGGGGCCGGGGAGAGGAGCCGGGGCCCCCTGACTTACCTCCTCATGCACCTTCTTGAGGAAGGCGATCTCCTCCTGCAGCGACTCGATGCGTCTCTCCAAGTCAATGCGCGCCAGCGTGGCTGCGTCCACGTCCTGCCGTGACAGAGCCGGGCAGGGGTCAGTGGGCCCAGGGGGCGTGGCTAGGCTGGGGTGGGGCTAACCCCAGGGGTGTGGCCATGTGGGTGTGGTCAGTGCAGGGGCGTGGTCAAGCCAGGGGGTGTGGCCAGGCCAGGTGTGCCCGGTGCAGGGGGTGTGACCAGGCTGGGCAGGTGCTGCATGCCCCCCGGGCAGCCACACCGTGGGGGGTGGGGCACACCACTCACTCTGATTGGCTGAGAAGATGTTCCCTCCAGGAGCTGTGGCCAATCAGGGGGGTGGCTTGGGCATGTGCTGTGGGTTGGGTGCCCGGTTGGGGGTCTCCCATGGGTGACGGTGCCCGGCAGGACCCTGGGCTCTGGGGAAGGGCACGAGGGGGCCCTGGGGAGGGCTCCGGGGAAGATTGGGAGGGGGGTGTGGGGAGGGGTCCCCTGCCCCAGGCTCTGGGGAAGGGCAGGAGGGGGCTCCAGCTGGAGCGCTGGGGAGGGGTCCCGGCTGGGGGACGCGGGCCGGCCCGGGGGTGGACGCAGGGACTCACAGCGCGGAAAGCAGCCAAGTTGTTCTCCGCCTCCTCCTTCAGCTGGATCTCCTCC